AACGCACACCGGAGAGAAGCCGTACCTCTGCAACACGTGTGGGAACAGATTTACAGACCCGTCGGCGTTCAGACGCCACACGACGATCCACACGGGCGAGAAGCTGCATGCTTGTGACACATGTGGCAAAAGTTTCCGACACACGAACACGTTGTTGTGCCACATGAGGACTCACACAGGGGAGAGGCCCTTCGTCTGTAACCTCTGTGGGAACAGATTTATTAACAAATCCAAGCTGAAGAGGCACACCAAAACTCACACGGGCGAGAAGCCTCACCTCTGCGACACATGCGGGAAGTCATTCATCAGATTGTCAATGTTAAAAAATCACATGAGAACACACACGGGGGAGAGACCGTACTGCTGCAACACGTGTGGGAAAAACTTCACCCACGGAACAACGTTGAAACAGCACATGAAGACGCACACGAGTCCCGAAAGATCTGTAACGACAAAACCATCAGGGACGACAAACTTGAAGAAAATGTGAGAATTTGAGGTTGTAAAATATCAAATTTTAAAACTTAAAATGTCTTCAGGCAGCTTATTCCATGTGACACTGCAAGATGGGCCAAAAAACATCTAGTTTTAATCTTTTCTACAACCTCTGGGATAATGTCACTTTAAAAGCCCTCACTTGTGTGAACTGATGCTGCAGCTAATGATTATTCGCATTTTTGATCAACCTGCTGATCGTTTTCTCTGTTAATAGGTTAGTTGCTTGGTCTAGAAAAAAATTCAATCTGTGTTTCTCGAAGCTCAAGATGTTCCTCCGATGTCTCGTTTTGCCAAAAATACCAAAGATATTCAGTTTCCTGTCATACAGGAGTGAAGAAACCAGAAAATATTCATATTTAGGAAGCTAGGAATCAGAGAATTTAGATTATTTTTGGTGATTAAGTTATTTGTTGAGCTGATTTATCGTCGTAGCTTTAAAGTAAACAGGTGAACAAGAAACAGAAGACTCCTGTGGATTATTTAGCCAAACTGTGAGCTGCAACGTGAACTCTT